GAAACAGTATTTAATTCTTCTACATAGGACATTTTAACCAACACATCGTTTTTCAATTATATTATCATATAAAGTCTCCCGATTTATTGTGATTTTTTGTTAAAGTAAAGTGTTGAAGATTTGCACTACGGTACGGTAATATAATTCCTACAATTTTATATTTATTATTACAATTTTATTTGCCACTCTTGACAGGATTTGTGAACTGTTAGATACATTCATCATGCATTGTTACAAGATTATCAAGTTTGATTGAAGCACTATTTTTTTATTTTTTATTTTAGACGTTAAGAGATTGACATGCCTGATGACGATTTGTATTTAATATTTTGGTAGAATAAAATTCATCAACTTTAAATCCAACACCTTTTTAAGTTGGGCGAATCTATTTTACCTGATTTATATTTTTATAGCCACAATGTGTTTAATAATAAATTGTACATATTACCACATCAATAATCCACCAACAATTAAGACTAATTGGAATGTAAAATTAATTTCAGTAATTTTATCTTAGAATTTTTAAAATATCCTACTCATTTAATTTTCTTCTAACGACTGCGAAGGGGAAATTCATCTGTAACAGCTGTTATTTACACGTTTAAGCCCAAGGTTGCACCAGTTTCTGGGAGATAACGAATTCATTTGACCAAAATAACAAATACAAATAAGCATTAGTCATGTCAATCTCATTAGGACTTAAATTAAAACTAAAATATAGTTATAACGATTAATAATATGCAAACTTGTCAAAGATGCAGGAAAAATTAAGTTCAACTCATGGAATAAAGTTCATTGACTTTCGAAAATTATCTATCTACCCCATGAAAATATTCAGACATTTTTTCTCCTGATTAATAATTATTTAAACATCACCATAAGCTGTTTGAAGTCCAACACTACAAGTTTGTTAAAACAAACAAAGGTCGTTTATAATATGTTTACATGACTCTTAAACAGTCCCGAGTTGGAGACATCAACGTTCGGTTTGACGGAAGTCGCGCACGTTCCTTGTTGTGAGACAAATTCAATGTCGTTAGATGAATCAGATTTTTCAATCGAGATTTTAAAACTACTACTTGTGAACATGTTTATATAATCTACACAGATTAAATCTTAGCCACAACAGTATTATTCACCTGAATATTTATTCTAGATACTTCCAAAATAGAATTGAGTAAACTACAGTGATATTATGGAGCGAAAAACCACGCATCAGGATTATTGGACTTTTAGAGTTTTAAACAGATGTTAAGCTAATGCCGTTCACTGGATGTGCTAATTATTATGGTTCGTCTTTGACTTTGGGCAATGCAAGTAGACTCAGATTATTTCTGATTTTAACGAAGATTGTACAGTTCTTACTGAGTTTTACCCTTCACTTAGAATACGAGAGTACAAACAACAGTAACAATAAAAAGTTCTAATCTTAATTTTCTAGTTGGCAAAAGTATGAAACATCAACACGCTCATAAACATATAAATCTTTTCTTTAGTTGATCCTTAAAATGATGAACCCGTAAGGAAGTATTTTTAACTTCATATATCCAAACGCCAATTAGGGTCTAGAGATATTTTCACAGTCTCACTCGGATGATTTACTAATCGTGTATAGAAAATACTGAACATTTCCTTAGCGTCTTGAGTCATTGAAACACATACCCAATGCTTATTTCTTATTATATTCGTCGTTATTAATTTAATTCGTGAATCCGTCTTCAAAGCGAGGCGCAAAAATAAATCCAATAATTATAATCAGTTAAGTAATGTAGTCCAATAGGTTTGGGCAATAATCACAGTGTAACGTTATAGTTTTGTCATCTGTTCCCTCATACAGAAGAAACATTATCATGGCTTACGCACAAAGTAGCTGGAGAATGTATTCAGAAATTATTTTATGAATCAATGTTCATTCTGCTAAGGACATGCATTTCAATTCCCGTAATCTGAGAATGAGAAGACAGCTGACTATGGTTCTGGTTGTTGTTTTGCTACATTCCTCATCAGCTGGGTATTAACACTGTCCTTGGAACAGCCAAACACCCGACAGCGACTGAATCCAACATAATGAGTGTACAACATCAGTACATGGTGGGAGAAGTATTGGTGCTTTTGCGTGCGCTCTTTGTCGTAGGTTTTTAATTTTGTGAAATTGAAAAAATGAATTTTCGAAATCAATTTAGCAACCAAATTAAATAAATGTATAATATTGTTAGTGTTGCAAAATTATGTTTAAGCTCTGTTAGCACAAGAAATAAGGCCCACCTAGACCGTACCGTACTCTTCGATTCTCGGGCTCTCGTTGCAACGCACGATGTTGAGTCTGGGTCGCCCCGTAGACACCACACCGCGGCTGTTTCGGGAAAAAAGCCGTGTTGTTTAGACGATAACTAAGTTTACGTTTCGGCCACCCGAAATGTAGTGGCTAAGTAATGCTACTGATACGTAGTACTTATACTTATGTTATCTCATGTTTTTGGTAACACATCATACCGTGGTATTGAAAATACTTGTTGCTTTGTGCTTACTGAGCCAATGTCGTGTATACTGGCCAATATAAGAACAATATTCGTTTTAATGCGAACCTATTTTTGTTGAAACAGCTGAAATTCGCGAATTATTTTGGTTTAAAATCTAAACATGACTTTATCATTGATGTCTTCATGTTAGTGTACAACATCTCCTACACAACAATGTCCTACTGATACAATTGGAATAAAAGTATATTATTCATGTTTATTTTATCAAGTTTAATTTCAGGAATAAAAATGGTCAAAATTTAGTAGTTCCACTTTGCCATTACTGCGTCGGATTTCACTATTATCAGATATTAACGGACAACTTAAGCTGTGTGGCGGCATCGACCAACTGTGTGACTTTTATTATAAAATTTTCAAAAGTAATTTGTGAGTGTCGGGATTTGAACAGAAGCCCCAAATTTTAATCACCAGATTCATTCGTGTCTTTTATTCCTACCTGGGTGGTTAAACAGATACTATAATACATAACGTGTGTCCTAGTGAACTTTTAAATATCTGTTCAGAACTGGTAGCACAGATTATGAACCAATTACGCTACAGAATTGCATTAAAACACTGACCCATATTTGTATGATTTAGATTTGATTGTGCGTGGTCAATCAATACCAACATTAGATAACAACGCAGGAATTATGATTATTAGCGAGTACAATCGTATCAGTAGATTCCAATCGATAAGATCGATATATTGCATCGCCAGCATGCTTGAGGCTGATATATACGACTATTGGTCTATTGTTTAAATATAAGTGGACTCAAAACTGATTGGCAATAAAAACGTTAATTGAATGTATTAGACCACCAACCTACACGAATAAATGTGGAGTATAGGCCTTTGGGCAAGAGGCCTTGAACAGTGGGACAATTGTTTGGAAACTTTTAAATCCAAAATAGAACCAATAAAGTTGATATTATGTAGGGAAAATCCATGCTTTTATCTTCGTGCGTGATGTTCAATAAGTATATTTCCAGATTTCCTGGCACATTTAGTTAAGGAAGTGAGTAAATATTTTAACTTTAGAAGTTATGTTGTTTGCGAGCACTTATAAATAAGGTAACTGACTTCAGAAATTCTTCATATTAATGTACCTGTTTGGTTTTGTTTATTTCCTCTATAAATTTGGCCTAATCGTGGCATGCATAAATGTAAGGAATAAACATGTGTTTGCAAAATAAAACCTCACGCCAAATTTCAAAAAATCGTTTGGCCAAAGTTGGTAAAGCAAAATATTTGTATAGAATTTAAATTGGTGAATAGGCTATACTAAGTTTTGAATTTCATACGATAAAGTACCTGTACTGTAATATTTCTACATATGTTTTTACACAAAACGGTAACTCATTATTTTCTTAAAACCCTGTCAAAATAAGGAACTAATTTGTTTATTTAACTTTTTCAAACAAAATGTCTTAAAGGTATCCCAATTATATAACGTGATTCATTTCGAAATAATGCTGTTTGAATTAAATAGTGTTGTAACAAAAGTGTAAAATCAAACAGTTTTCCCTCCAAAATAATATTTTGCAAGGTAAAGGGTTGATTGAAAGTGAGAAGCACTCTTCCTTTCTTAGGACCACGGAGCCTGTGGAGATCCGGCAATGGAGGAATGAGGCCAGTGGGGCGGAGCCCCGTTATCAGGATCCTCCCTCGGAAATAGCCCAGACTGTTAGGTGCGGAAATAGCGAGGGAATTAGGCAAGTACCTTGCGGTACACCCTGTAAAGTTATATATAGAGATAAGGCATTCCACTTGAGGGTGGATTCCGAATTACGCTTTGTTAGGTGTAAAAATAGTTTCAGGGCGATGTAAATCTAGGTCTTAAAATATATCTGGGGAAACTGGAGTTTGTACAGTGTAGTATTTGTAGAAATATTACTATTCATCCTGTAGATTTACATACATTGGTTTAAAGATAGTTAATCTGTTTGTTAAAATATAGATAATTTGAACATTACTGTTTGTAATGTTTGAAAAATATTTTCTATATATATATCTAAACAATAAAGTTTAACTATAATTTTTCCAGACACTGGTGAGAATTGGTATAGTAACGTATATTGTGTGTCGACGTGCTTCATAAGATTTACACTATTCACAACATAACGTTTTTTTTTTAAATACCGTCAAGTTGATATAAATACAAACACGTCACTTTTTATAACCATATTTAATCAATTATTTCAATAGCTTGTTTGATGGATATAGCCAGATTATCAACAAATGTTAAACAAAAAACTCACGAGGTTGAGGAGGAAGGTAGTTTGATTTATTATAATAGACCCCTCTATTCGTGTCATTACATGTACAATAACATAAAATGCATCGGGAACTGTCGTCAGTTTTTTGTCCCCTCAGTACCGACGACGGTTTTATAGTGGGAGTCAGTAGTGCTAACCCAAATATCCAAAGTTTATGGTACAACGCTATAGACAGCCAGCGGAGGAGTCTCCTCAGTACCGATGACGGTTGTATCGTGGGAGTCAGTAGTGTTAACCCTAGTATCCAAAGTCAATGGTACAACGTTACAGACAGCCAGCGGAGGAGTCTCCTCAGTACCGACGACGGTTGTATCGTGGGAGTCAGTAGTGTTAACCCTAGTATCCAAAGTCAATGGTACAACACTTCAGACAGCCAGCGGAGAAGTCTCCTCAGTACCGACGACGGTTGTTTCGTGGGAGCCAGTAGTGTTAACCCTAGTATCCAAAGTCAATGATACAACGCTTCAGACAGCCAGCGGAGGAGTCTCCTCAGTACCGACGACGGTTGTATCGTGGGAGTCAGTAGTGTTAACCCTAGTATCCAAAGTCAATGGTACAACACTTCAGACAGCCAGCGGAGAAGTCTCCTCAGTACCGACGACGGTTGTATCGTGGGAGCCAGTAGTGTTAACCCTAGTATCCAAAGTCAATGGTACAACGCTTCAGACAGCCAGCGGAGAAGTCTCCTCAGTACCGACGACGGTTGTTTCGTGGGAGCCAGTAGTGTTAACCCTAGTATCCAAAGTCAATGATACAACGCTTCAGACAGCCAGCGGAGGAGTCTCCTCAGTACCGACGACGGTTGTATCGTGGGAGCCAGTAGTGTTAACCCTAGTATCCAAAGTCAATGGTACAACACTTCAGACAGCCAGCGGAGGAGTCTCCTCAGTACCGACGACGGTTGTATCGTGGGAGTCAGTAGTGTTAACCCTAGTATCCAAAGTCAATGGTACAACGCTTCAGACAGCCAGCGGAGAAGTCTCCACAGTACCGACGACGGTTGTATCGTGGGAGTCAGTAGCGTTAACCCTAGTATCCAAAGTCAATGGTACAACACTTCAGACAGCCAGCGGAGGAGTCTCCTCAGTACCGACGACGGTTGTATCGTGGGAGCCAGTAGTGTTAACCCTAGTATCCAAAGTCAATGGTACAACGCTTCAGACAGCCAGCGGAGAAGTCTCCTCAGTACCGACGACGGTTGTATCGTGGGAGCCAGTAGTGTTAACCCTAGTATCCAAAGTCAATGGTACAACACTTCAGACAGCCAGCGGAGGAGTCTCCTCAGTACCGACGACGGTTGTATCGTGGGAGCCAGTAGTGTTAACCCTAGTATCCAAAGTCAATGGTACAACACTTCAGACAGCCAGCGGAGGAGTCTCCTCAGTACCGACGACGGTTGTATCGTGGGAGTCAGTAGTGTTAACCCTAGTATCCAAAGTCAATGGTACAACGCTTCAGACAGCCAGCGGAGAAGTCTCCACAGTACCGATGACGGTTGTATCGTGGGAGTCAGTAGCGTTAACCCTAGTATCCAAAGTCAATGGTACAACACTTCAGACAGCCAGCGGAGGAGTCTCCTCAGTACCGACGACGGTTGTATCGTGGGAGCCAGTAGTGTTAACCCTAGTATCCAAAGTCAATGGTACAACGCTTCAGACAGCCAGCGGAGAAGTCTCCTCAGTACCGACGACGGTTGTATCGTGGGAGCCAGTAGTGTTAACCCTAGTATCCAAAGTCAATGGTACAACACTTCAGACAGCCAGCGGAGGAGTCTCCTCAGTACCGACAACGGTTGTATCGTGGGAGCCAGTAGTGTTAACCCTAGTATCCAAAGTCAATGGTACAACGCTTCAGACAGCCAGCGGAGAAGTCTCCTCAGTACCGACGACGGTTGTATCGTGGGAGTCAGTAGTGTTAACCCTAGTATCCAAAGTCAATGGTACAACACTTCAGACAGCCAGCGGAGAAGTCTCCTCAGTACCGACGACGGTTGTATCGTGGGAGCCAGTAGTGTTAACCCTAGTATCCAAAGTCAATGGTACAACGCTTCAGACAGCCAGCGGAGGAGTCTCCTCAGTACCGACGACGGTTGTTTCGTGGGAGTCAGTAGTGTTAACCCTAGTATCCAAAGTCAATGGTACAACGCTTCAGACAGCCAGCGGAGGAGTCTCCTCAGTACCGACGACGGTTGTATCGTGGGAGTCAGTAGTGTTAACCCTAGTATCCAAAGTCAATGGTACAACACTTCAGACAGCAAGCGGAGAAGTCTCCTCAGTACCGACGACGGTTGTATCGTGGGAGTCAGTAGTGTTTACCCTAGTATCCAAAGTCAATGGTACAACGTTTCAGACAGCCAGCGGAGGAGTCTCTTCAGTACCGTCGACGGTTGTATCGTGGGAGTCAGTAGTGTTTACCCTAGTATCCAAAGTCAATGGTACAACGTTTCAGACAGCCAGCGGAGGAGTCTCCTCAGTACCGTCGATGGTTGTATCGTGGGAGTCAGTAGTGTTTACCCTAGTATCCAAAGTCAATGGTACAACGTTTCAGACAGCCAGCGGAGGAGTCTCTTCAGTACCGTCGACGGTTGTATCGTGGGAGTCAGTAACGGTACCGATCACTCCTCCAGCTTCTCGTCTCTTTGTTACTGTTCATTGTCCGACTCCGGCCTCATTCCAGCCGACTGGGTTGCCTACAACCATGCTACAACCGATAGCTTTCTGGAGCGTTAAAACCACGGTTTAACCTATGGTGCAATACAAGTTTTTTATCAATAAAAGATTTGGGTATATTGTAACACTTAATTTTTAACTTTGAAGTTTTCCTGATTGGTTTACAATTGATATATCCATTTTACTTAGCTTGATACTAAATGAACTTTACCTATTCCCTGGTTTGAATTGACACAAAAGCGTAGAATTGATTCTAATTAAACTGAGAAATGTTGAGGCGATTCAAGTAAAATTGAGGCTAATATTTTATAGTATCAGAACGTAATTCCGCCTAGAGTTTTTCTAAATCACGGTTCATCCCTGGACAAAGAAAGTTTATAAGTTTTAACAATAATTTTCAATCCCATAGTAAGACGAGACTTGTGATAAAGGGAGTTCAATCAACACATAGTAAAACATTGACATTAAGGAACCCTGGGAGTATTTTTGTCTCCTTGGTTGAGTCACTAGAACTAAAAGCCGAGATGCAACTTCAGAGATAGTAAAGGTTATGCATTATACAAAAAAAAAAAAAAATAACAGTAAGTTCCCTTAGGAGTTTTTAGTATAAAACATTGTATTAACCTCTGTAGGGATGAAAAAGGTCAGGTTTATGACAATTTCTACAACACCAATAATTTCATATAATCTAAAACCTTGGATTTTATCATAGATAAAACAACCTCCCTAAGAACAATTTCACATCCTCATGGAACAGCTGAAACCAATTTTGTAGTTAGTTTGGTGCACTGTAAAGGTCGTGTTTTGTTTAAATTTTTTTCTTGTTATTTCAGTCGTTTAAAACCCCGTTTAACCAAAATAAATTATATAATCATAAACAATAACTCGTTCTCTAGTTATTTAACAAAACAGTAAAGTACAAATGATAGACTCTAAAATAATAGAAACGAAATTTCGTCGACAATAGCCACCAGTGTCACCGGACATGAACTAGACACGATAAACGAGCTTCAAAATTTACAATGTGATGAGAAGTCACCTGTGTTGGTTAGTATATGATTTTACTAATAGTAACACCATGTTGCTATCTTCCGAAAAAACTCACGCTGACCATTTATTGGGTTTTAAGACAGTTTTTCAAAGCAAATAATATTCATTTAAGTTTATTTTAACATTTCCCTGCGCTACGTTTTGTAGAAAATTATAATTTTTAGGATTACATATATAGATAATACGCCCAATCTACTTCAAATATGCCAATTTAAATCAATTTCTTGAGGTTTACCTTCATTTGTCATAAAATTCTTACAATATATCTACAATATATATAGTTTAGTAAAGTATTAGTTATTATTTCAATCCCTTAAATGTTTGGTAGTTCAAGTATTATTAATTTTTGACTTTTTAACAGTATATTGAACGAAAGAGTGCATGTTATCTTGATTAGTTTTAGACGGAATGTGAACGATCTTAAGTCCAAATTGTGTATAATTCGCTAATAAATCTTGAAAATATCCGCAAAACTCCACACTATTGTTTACTTGACTGACCTATGGCCAAGGACGATGAATAACAATGGGTAATTGCGGGTTATGGGTATCGATAGCTTAGGTGAATTTGGCGGGCGAATTAAGCAGCATTATAATGTCATACAAGGCGGGGTTATCTGATAAAATTAATATTATATTTTGAGTCGCCTACTCCAATTTCGATATGAGTAGCAATTTTATACCGTTGAACTATTTGATACCAAAGAAGACATCCCATCTTCATGGACTGGCTGTAGCCAATTTTTTGTAAAAAGAACGTAGTTGTGTGAGCCAGTCACAGAATGTGCTAGTGATTAAAACTCTACTTTCCACCTTTTTTGTTGCTGGTCAAGTTGATGGTCCATAACAGTTGCTATAGCCACAATAAGTCATTCTATTAATTTGAATCGGTAAAAAAAAGATTGTGTATTCAACAGAAATCAGTAATTTAGATCAGCACAATCTATCGGTGGCTCACATCTCAACTACGACGATTTTGGTAAAAAATCTGGCTATAAATTTAACATGGGGATGATTTTATTCGTCACCTGGCTTTTAAATAAGGGATAATGATCAGCTGTTTTAACCTATACGTTCTTAGTACAATAAGCAATGCGGTAGGATATGGAAGGTAGGAGGTGAAATTAAAGTCTCTATGGCTAGAATAGGTGTGTCTATTATATTCTCTATCTATATTGTCTCTATGTATGAGGTCCCTTCACAACAAACAACACTGCAAGTTTAGGCTGGATTTTTATTTTTTAAACAATTTAAATGACGTCACGGTGTTCATTATTTTCTTGCAAAGACCAATCGTAAAACTATTCTCATCTTATCTAAGACGAAATAACGTATCATATTTAACTATAAATAATCAACGGAAATTAAATTAATTTAAATTTGATTTTCAGTAGAACGTATACAATAATCTTTCAAAAGAATATTTAAAATAATGCAAAATAAAATAAATGTCTTTGTTAGTAAATAAAAATAAAATAAATTTGTCTGTGTTAGTTGAACTTTATCCTGAGTGTTGACAACGTCCAAATCTCTATTAAAAACACATTTTGACACACATTTGGTAATATGTTGTTGGCACTGACATAATATGTGATAGTATACTAGTGCATGGAGGTTTGTGTATTAACTGAAAACCCATTTGTTGTAAAATTAAAGTTAATAAACTTTACAGAAACTTATTTTTGCGTGTAAACAAGCTGTCCGAATAATATTCAGTTTTTATTGACTACTCGATTCCCGTACGTAGGACGAGCCAACAACTACTATTGTTTTAAAACCCCCAACAAGTACCAATATGCACTACTTGGTATGCCAACTGGTTTTATCTCAACACATTGAACTTCCCTTATAAACAACGAACTTTCGTAGGGTAATACAACTACTAACAATAATAGGGTAATACTAACAACCTACAAATACGAAAACACTGATACTGTGTGTACCTAAATATATCAATTTGATTTTATAACGCTTATAATATTATTTTCTGTCATTTACCATTTCTAGATAATTCTGTTAATTATGTAACTTGTTTTAAGTTTCAACATTTTCAATAACTCTGACCAATTATTTTTTAAACCGTTGATTAAAAGAGTTATAGATTTTTTACACCTAAACACCTTGTGAGTTTTAAATGATTTTTGGGTACCTACGTATTATACCGACCGCACCTAATGATTATTATAACGTAACCTAACCTAACCTAACCTAGCCTAAGGGTGGTTAGGTTAGGTTAGGAGGATTTTGTTATCTAAACGAATTAAAATGTTATTTGGTAGTCGATTTATCGTTGTGGTCGGTATAATACGTAAGTACAATGTTTTGCTACCTCCCCCCCCCCCCCACCATTTACTACGCTATTTAGCCCCCTCCCTGTCTAGTTCCGGCTTGTACCGGTACCTCTTATAGTAGCCGGGGTTTTCCATGAGTCACTGGCTCACTTTCTCCTCTCTGATTACCATTTCTCCCAGTAGCTGACCGGTTGAGGCTAGTTGAATGACGACAACTATTTCTTCATCATCCCCTCTCAAATAACACAGAGAATAATAAATGCTTAGAATAAAACCACTTGATTCCAATATGTTAAATATAAGTTTTGCAGAATCACGATTTCGTTCGTACGGGGTTCTTCGTATATCCGAAGTATTTCGAATTTTGTTGGCATTCTTGCATTATAAATTTGAATGTTTTAAGCGTGTATATTATTTAACTGATTTTAACAATTTGGTATACCAAAGGAAACCTTTAAGTTTAATTTCGTCATAGTTTACCTATATCTAAAAGATAATTATTATTTTAACCCTTTCATAGTCATTTATTAAAACTGTATAAGGCTTTCAAAAATTGAAAATTCTATTCAGAAAACCTAAGTGTTATGAAATTGTAATAAAAAATACTGTTCGTTGAAGATTTTTTATTGATATATTTTCCTGTTTCCATCTATAGGCCTAGTTTAAATTAAAAAACTTCTATTTCGTATACTCCACGCATCTTTTACACTTCTTAAACCTTAAAATAAAAATCTCGCTCTGGCAATAGAAATAAAAAAACAAATTAAAGTCTATTTATATATTACAGAGGAGTGCCAAGATATGGATTGATATGTAAAGTGCAAATTCGCTGATAGTCCATATAAATAAACTAACAAGCACCTAACTAGGATTTAATTGCATTTGATGCCCATCCTCTACGGTTGCGTTAGCTTCCTCTATGCAAATGCCTAGATTGCAGCCAAGGAAGTATAAAACATAACAGATCGTCTTGCAAAATCATAGTTCACCTCATATACTCGCTCATTAGACGTTTACGTTCGTTTAAAAATCGTGCATTTTTTAAAACATTTTAGATTGGTAATCTCATTTTACGAAACTAAACTGCCATTTAGTGAAATTCAATCTTGTCGCATGGTCTTGTGCTCGGAAAGTAACTTGTACTTATTTCTATTATACACCAATTCATCCTTGCTCATTAAGATTTTTATAAAATGATCCATGCTTGAGAATGAGCTGGTATAAAGCAATTACAGGGGTACTCTACTACTATTCTACACTCATCATTTTAATCAGGTTAAAATACGGATTTCAAGGTTTCTGGATTTTGTTAGATCTTGTCTATTAACATTGACTCTTAAGTTTACACCATGACTTAGTTAGGATGTGTAAACCAGGAATTACTGATCCGTTCTTTAATAAAGACTCACTTTTCCAATTCGTTGAACATGCTACCTCAGTTTATTCTAGAAGAACAAGTCTAAAGCACGGGTCACACTAGGCTGTTCGCCAGCCGCTGGTGATCAGCAGCTGGCACCAGCATCACCGGCCTACCAATCCTGGCTGAGTCAGCTCAGTGTCAGCTGCGAATTTTGTGGTCACATTAAGCTGACAGTTGCGGCTTCTTTCAATTCGCCGCTGATGCCAGCCTAGTGTGACTCGTGCTTAACCTAGCTATGAGACGATTGCACGAACTATAAAGTTGCAATTGTAACATTAATGACTGCACAACCGGACAACATTCCTAAACTGAA